CAGAGATCTTCACACAAAAATTCCTCTGTTTTCTTATCTCTGTTTTTAATGAAACATAACAGCAAAAACTTGTCATTGTTCAACATGACTATAGTTCTTCTTCCTCTGTTTCACCTCTTGATGGCTAATCTCTCTGCTTCTCACTTCTTTTCCGAATATCTCACTTCTTTCGAATAACCTAAAATCAATCCAACACATAAAAACACCTTTCAAGAAACCTCTTTTTCTTGTTTTTTCCTCTGTTTTGTTCTACTGAAGAAACCATCTCAATGAATTCAGCGCAGTTTCAACACTTAAAGATGGAGAAGCCAAGAGGAATCTTGAATTTCCAATCAATAAGATCGTTCACGAACTTATTCAGACTCATCGAAGCGATTTTTCTTCTAATCTTGATCTCCAAACTCTCTTTCCCATCTGTGAAACTCTCTGTTGGGAACATTTTCAAGGAAGCAGCAGTGTTTCTCGTTAGCCCGAGATTCGTTTTCTTCATCGGAAACGCAATTGTAATTACTCTTTTCGCAAAATCCGGACGAAACAAATCGGGCCACGAGCCTTCGAAGACGACAATAGAAGCTGCAAGCAACGATCTTTACCAAGAATTTCTTCACAAGAGTGAGAAGAAGAGATCCGAAGTTTATGACATGAAAAAAGAACAACCGAAGAAGGCGAGTGGAGTGAAAAGGGTTAGTTTCGGGAGAAGCCAATCGCAGAAAGCGTTTGAGGCGGTTCAGCCGCTGGAGAGTGGGAAAATCATGAAGAGGTATGAGTCGGAGAAGTGTATGAGGATTTGTGATTCGGACAAGAAAGTGTTAGTGAGAGTTAAGAAACAAGAAGATGGAATGAGCAACGAGCAATTTAGGACAAAGATTGAAGCTTTCATCGCGAGACAAAAGAGGATTCAAAAGGATGAAGAACACTTGATACTCTAGATCCCTCTTTGCTAGTGAATGTTTCTTTCTGTTTTTTCTTTCCATTTTGGTTATAAACTTGAATTCTCTGTTTCAAATCATTTCATAATCTTGTAACTTTGCCTTTGTAAAACTCTTGTAAGGTTGTTTAAGTAAATACATCAAATGGTATTATTGGAAGTTACATTTGCTTTTCATGTTCTCACTTGTAGTGACTTGAAATTGGTACATTTGTTTTGACTTTTGAGGAAGTTGCGATCCCTTTGGACTGGTAGTCTCCCTTAGTCAGGAGTCAGGACCACCTTGTAATTGGTACGTTTGCATCAAGCGGAATGTTGTTTGCATCGTTTGGATTTATGGATGACACTAAAAAGAATTCTAACCTACTAGGGGTAGAACAGTCTAATTAGTTGATGTAATATTTTGATTTTTGAATACGATGAATCGATGATATATACAGATAATTTAAAATAATTTATTTGATTATCTATATCACCAAAATATATATTCAACAGCTTTAAAACTCTATCTTAAGATCATGTCACGTTTAAGCATGTTTGACATAGTTATTTAAAGATAAGTGAACTAGTGGAATGTGATTTTCAGTATCGTGGAATTGAAGACCAAAACGCAAATAAAACTCTTGTCGAGGTTCTGCAGTTTTCCGAACATTTTGGAATAGCGATTTGACAGTCCGGCGATAGTGAAATCCACATACCGAAAGTAGGTTTGAGAACATAAAGATGGTGACAGTCGGGACTTTAAGGAGAGATAAAATTTGATCACACACCTCGAATTTAAATAGGTTTGATGTTATATATCAGAAGTGGTTAGTTACACTAAAGTATCGAATAATATTTGATTCACTAATTGGTGCCTAATTTTGTAGAGAAGTGATTTTTTTTTTTTTTGGGGTCAAATGTAGAGAAGTGATATAAAGTGTATAAACGGTGTTTCCAAATGCTGGATAGCATTATTTAGGGTTATGGATCAAGAGAATAGATTGCTGCATTATAGAGGAGGGAATTGTTGGTATGTAGTCATGTCCTCAATCTTTTGGTCTCAGTTTTATTGGGAATATTTATGTTGGTTCCAGTTAAAATGATTTATCTACGTGCAAAAATGTGCTATTGAACAAAAGAGTATTGATGCTTTGATAATTGTACTAGCTAGAGATTAGGTATCGGACATGCTTCAAAATTATGCCCAGACATGAATTAACACAAAATTTTATGCATGTCCGATAAGAACATTGGTAAACCATTATTAGAATTATAAATTACGATTACCTAAATCGATTCATAAATTGTTTCAAATCGTTATACTGTAAACTAATATATATTACAATTATAAAATCACGATTACTTTTTAAATCCATGCGTGACAAAAAACTCTGACGTGTAGTGTAGGAACCAATATCTGGAAAGGCAAAAAGACAAGATATGTTCGGATGATAAAAAGATCGATGCAAATCTGTAGAATCTAATGAGAATGAAGAATACACGTGAGATAGGCATAAATCTGCAAGGAACAAATCTTATAATATACAAAATACTTGTAGTTTCTTTACTAATTTTTTTATACGTTTTACATACATGTGACTAGTTGATTATTAAAATATATTTTTTTTCGGTTCTTTCCATTTTATATTTAGAAAAAAGTATCATAAACTTTGTTATATTATTTTCACTTGTCTCTATTCCTATATTAACATCCTGAGTTAAAAATATTACCTTTTCAACTTCGAGTAGTTTATATAGTTATTTTATCAACGAAGAAATTCATATCGAACTTGAAACCTGATAAAAGTTAATGTTATATATTTTCTTCATTTCTTACTTGATGTTTAAAATTGTAACACATAGATTAAAATAGTTGTTGGTAAACAAAAAAAAATTATTTTATTTTTCATTTTTGAAAAAAAAAATTGTTTTATCATCGATTAAAACAATTTAATTAATGATAAATTTGTTGTAAAAAACAATTAATTTTGCATAAAAACTTGAATTTGATGTCGAAAAAATAATCTAATTTACTAACAGGATAATATGAGTTTTTGTTAGACGCTATGTGAAAGAATTACTTTTTCGTAACAGTTAAATGAATTTGTTTTTGTCTTATTATCATTTACCTAATCTTTTAATCAAATCTTGTCATTTTACCTTATTGATTCTTCAAAAAATATCCAATATATGCAAATATCATACACACGACATGACACGATCGAGGAGGCAGAATTTATACGATATAACGTATAGTCCATTTTAGAGTCATCAGCATTTCAGCATCCCATTCATTTTGCTCACTTGTTACATAGACAAAACATCACTTATAGAATCTTCTTTCCTTTAGCATAATTTTTCTCTTATTAACCGAATCAACTAAATTCTTCTCATTTGAATTTTCTAGATATTTTTTTGTGGAGGAAATAAAATACCCTTTGGATAATTCGATGCATAGACTTTACCTAAACTAAATGAAAATATCTTCACGTCGGTCGTGCATCATCTGAAAACGACTCATATAGCTTACGAATAGCTTTTGTAATATTTGTGAGCCTAATTTCTTTTTAAAGATGTAATAAGAAGTATCATATCAAGAATATAAGATACATGCAAATATGCAATCCAATCAGAATATATAATTTAATAATTTGTGTTAGTACAGTAATTTGTGCCATTCAGTTTTGGCGTCATTTATCCTGATATGAACATTTATAAAGGTGAATTAGCTGACTACACATATTGAACTCTGAATCAAAGAATATAGCTATGCAAATCCAATATTTAAATAAATAACCAAACAAAGTAGAAGTGGACCTTTTTGCCCTCCCTTGGATAACGACGAGCTTTCTCTTTTGCTGACGTGGCTTAGCTGTGGCCGAGAGTTTGAGACAGATTTCTTCTCTCTTGATAGCGTCAAATCAATAACATAACACAAGAGGATTAATTAAATTACAGCATTTTGTAATTACGTCCACATATTTTTGTTAAATGATGTTTAAAAACTTGGTAAGACAGAGGAGAGATACTTGTATTCAACATTAAAAATGCTAGATGTATATGACGAATTAAAAGGTTAATAGAAAAATTATGTTACATGAACGACATTTGAAAATTATTGGCCA